CTATAAATACTGCAAATCCCTGTGTACGAATTAGCCGTTTCTGCTATATCCTCGGATAAGTCAAGTCAGTCACCTTATTAAGGGTAGAAGGCTTTCGCCGTTGATCATAGATCCGCGCAGGATTCTGAAACGTCTGGTGAATAGAATTCTTGTCCCAACCATCACATTTTTTTCTTTACAAATATAATTTAGGTATATGTGAAAGTAATTCTTCTATACACTGAATGCCGGAAACATTTAGCTAATGCTTTCGACACTCTTTGGAGCAAATATAAGGGGTTTGGCTCTTCATCTAAGGCCATAGTGCCCTCTATATCGTTCCCGGTATAAAGCCCCACCGAGTGTTCAAATAATTCCGGAAACTATCGGATAAATGAATTGGATGAAACACTAATTTACAGAGTCAGTTTTAAAATTGTAGCGAGTAGTTGTGTCGAAGACCGTCAACTGCACGAATGAGTTAAGGAAGACGAAAAGACGCAAATTGCAGCTGCCAATAAGCGTCCACACTAGACGACAATATAACTGTACCAGCACTTTTGATATGTTAATTGTTTCTTGCACAGCTTTTCAAGTCTGGCGACGACCTGAAGATCCAGTATCGAAAATTTACTGAATAAAGTTTCCTCATTTTCCCAAAGAAAGCCTTTCCTTAAAATGACATAAACCAGATAACATGGGCACTATCGGTATAAAAGTACCATTTACATACTCAATAATAACAATGAGTTATCTGCATGGGAGACGAGATGGTGGGTTACCTGCAATGCTTTAGACTCGAGCTGTACGACCTCAGACTCCTGAAGTGCCAACCGTTCCGACAGCAGCATTACTAGCTGGGCTTTATGTTTGCGCCTCTTGAGTTCCTCCGCACGAAGTTTATATAGCCTATAGACAAAACGGCAGTAAAGTTGGTTTCAAAGGTCAGCCAGATGTAACAATATGAAAACGAAAAAAAAACAAGTTCGGCTTCTGCAAACCAAACACAGGCTTAAAGTAAAATATAAAAGAGAACGACGAACAAATGAAGAAAGTTGAACGATATCTGAAACACAAAAGGGATGATGAAGCAAACAGACTTTTTGGCGTTTGCGAGGTCAAGGCTGCTTGGAAAAAGATAACGGGGCAGTCTTCCGATTAATTTCGAAGTCAGACTCAAGTGAAGTTAAAGCCATTGTGGTTGATAATAAAAAGCTCCTTACCCCTTATAGTCTTCTGAATCCAGGCGGAGAATCTGGCCACCAAAATCTGACGCATCAACAGCCTTTTCCGCCTTCGCCGTCTTTGATGTCTCTCCGGCAGGCTGGTCCAAGGCCTCAATAGCAGTTAGGCGATCATTTGTCGTATTTAGTGACTGTGAGTGATAAAAGGCAGACGGGTATAATAATATATTAATTAGATATATAAAAAAGCGCTACTGAAACGACGAAAGTAGAAAGCGTATTAGAACCACGATCTAGGAATGCGTATACTGATGCTTACTGACCTTGTCGGCGAGCGAGGGGCGATCTAAGGCCTTCGGGAAGACATGATGAGTTAATTGGCTCTTTACAATTTGAGGTTCCGCTTCCTGAGGAAGTACTGAGGTTTGACGTGAAGTACGGACCGAAATGCCGGGGTCCAACTGATAATTAGAAACATCCGCCACCGATTGTATAGCTTCAGAGACGGCTACAAAGGAATGGACAGGGGATGAATAAATACGCCGGGCCCAGTAAATTCAAAATAAGGGATTTTCAATGGTTCCAAGTCAACAGGTGTATGTCTGAATAACAAAGTACTTCTGTTTAGCAAGGGATATTTAAATATAAGGTCCACTTACCACCAACATCTGAGTCTAGGACAAGTGAAGCATTCGCAGAGGATGTACGAAGAGTCGAATCTTGTGCACTGCTTGGCCTTGTAGTGTGAGTGATCTCCACGATACGCGAACTGCTCGTATTTGAGGTATTACGAGCACTGATGGAGGTTGAAATAACTGCCGCGCTAGATTCGTTCTGGGAACTTCCACAGCTCGAGGAAACAACAGCGACTGGCTTCCGTGTTTGTAAGTCAACAGACCGAGGCTAGACAACGAATCGAAAAACAAGAGGGAAGGTGGAGCAGAGTTCATAGGAGCAAGCAGGAAAGAAGGGATAGGAAGATGAGAATAGGATGGGCGAGGGGCCGGGGCGAGGGAGAGACAAACTAAGAGGTGAAAATTAAGCAAAAAAAGCTTTGAATACTCACGTCTTCCTCTTTTACAGTGCGGTGGTTTTGGTTGGATGTGATAAGCTCTGAAGGCTGCCGATTGGTAGAAGCTGGCTGGTTGATTCCGAACGATTCCTTGACCTGACCGCACTAAGAGAAGGTGCAAGGAGAAATGCATTAGACGCCTCAAAATGCAGCTGTTAGTGAACTACATGAGACACCAAGGCGAACAAACGGCAAGTGTGGGATAATGCCAACTGTAGTTGAGGTACCTGAATCAACTGGGCCAGGCTAACTGATTCAGCTTGTGCCAGTGATAACTGGCGCAGAGACTCCATCCCCTGCAATTGCTCGATTGATGCCGCCAGTGCGTCTAGACGATTTACATTAGCAGTTAGGCTGAGACCAAGAGCGGCGGCAGTTAGGCGTGGTGGACCGGTGGGAGCCGTTGGAAGACTGCCAACAAATATATGTTTGGCTCCTCCGGCCGACTGGCTGTTTGAGGTTGAAAGCGTTGAACGGGCAGACGAATTATGCGAAGATTTCGTGCGTGTAGTACCATCCTAATTGAGAAATTGGAATTGTTGGGTGAGTTTGAAAATAAAATACAGTAGTAATTTACCCACTGAATGAGATGGTCTGCATGGATATGCCGACCTAGTTGGACTTAGACAAGCGCAAAAAAGCTCCAAAATAAAAAGATTTAAGTAGAGCGGATGGCATAACATAAAACTGAAGGTAGACCAACGGGGTGGATGACGTTATGAAAAGCCTCCTTTTAGCTTGTGTCCCACACTAGCTCTGATCGCAGACATAAAAGGCACCGTCAAGGCCGCATTCAGAGGCAGTAGGAAAGCCGACTTACCAAGTCCGCTGCAGCCTTCCAAGGCACGACTGCGGACGTGTCGTTGTGCTTCGCAAGAGCTGCAGATTGTTTAAGGTGTGAAAAACAGGATGAGTGCATCCTCAAACAGATCGGTGTAAAATAACCCATTAATACTTTAGCTAATTTCTTTCTGTCCTCTGCTGTGTAGCACCGAACTTGACGATTAACGATCGCCAGGCTGGGATAGCCTGAGATATCTTCACGATGTTTACGTAGACAGTGCGAACGGTTTTATCTAAGGAGAGGTGTACTTCACACCCAAAGAATGGCCCTGGGGCGACGATGGCCAAACAGCTATAGTTTTGATCGTCTTACACGCGCACAGCACAACATTTACAGTTGTGTATGGCTTATTTGAAGGATACCCAACAGACGCGGATCCTTACGAGGAGAGATGTCGTGTCGAATTCCTAGATACTTTTTACGAAATATGAAAGACTTGCGAAGGGATACGATGACGTCCTTACTCTGCACATTTGGCAGCAACCTCGACCTGAGATACTTATAAACTCTCCACCTCAAGTTGACGATCAGTAATCCCGAGGGGTGCTTTCTCCTGGCCAGGAA